ATATATATATATAATTTTTGTACTGGTGAGTACAGTCTCGACGTATTTTACGCGCAGATGTTCCGAATGACAAATCACCGGAAATGCATGTAGTGTTTTGTGCTTTTTTGTGTTTTTTTAATGAGTCCCACGTGAGGAGCATTGTTTAAGTACAAAGCTACTCCCAATCACTCTACATACGTCTTTTGAGTACACATGTGCACCTCGAGAGAGAAATCACATTTCGGAATCACTTTCTGGGGGTGCGTGGTCAGAAATATGACAACATTTTTGATACAAATGATTGTTTATGAATTCCACTTGCGTTGTAAAGGCCTCTCAAAAACGTCGCATTGAGGGTTTCTTCTCTCTTTACAGAAATTCCACGCTCTCCCCTTAGTATTTTTGCCGGTAGAAAGTACTTTTGCATATTTATAAAACAGTATAATATAGAGGAGCAGTTAGAAGTAATGCCAGAAATGTGTGTTTATAGCACTGCTAGTTTATAAAAACAATTGACTAAAGAACCCGCCAGTTCTGCATTTCTTAGAATCCGCGTCTATTCTATTCACATTCAGTTTGCTCTGTGATAGCTTAGCTAACGTCCGTTGCAACGCAGACCGTGTGCTACCAACCGAACATTCACTATTGAAGCTACAACATGGGTCAAGGAGTAACGCACGTTCGCTAGCGTTTGCCGGCCAAAGTCCGCTATGTAAAGAACGCTAGCTCACGAGCACGTTCACCAGCGCGCTCGTGTGCCGCGGTGCGTTTACGTCCCTTTCACCCTGTGACGAACGCGCTTTAACGTACTTAACGCTCGTTTGCCACTAGCTACTGTGAGATTATCGTTATTGTCTTGTCTCACCTGCCCCACTCGCGTTTGTGTGTCCTGTCCCTATATCTTTCTCTAGCCTTGATGACCGGCGTGTTGGTTAATCTATATTTATTTGTTCACGTTTCGTTCCGGTCCACCTGATTCCCAACAGTCCAGTCTTTCAGTTCAATAATTTTGTAGATCCCCTGTTACTTCTGTGTGCGCAGCTAACAAGAAAGCTCTGTGGCCATGATTACATGTCTATGTCTTCCCTAATGGATGTGACGTCCTGTGTGGTGCCGGCTAAGGTGTGGTGGCTATGTCTACCCTGATTACATTTTTCCCTAGTGGATGTGACGTCCTGTGAGGTTACGGCTAACGACAAAGCTCTGGTGACCATGTCTATCCTGATTACATGTCTTCCCTAGTGGACGTGACGTTCTGTGTGGTTCTGGCTAACTGCAAAGCTCTGGTGGCCATGTCTATCCTGATTACATGTCTTCCCTAGTGGATGTGACGTCCTGTGTGGTTCCGGCTAACTACAAAGCTCTGGTGGCCATGTCTATCCTGATTACATGTCCATCCTAGTGATTGTGACGTCGTCTGTGGTGCTCGCGCAGAACAGTGGTGCATGAAGCATTGGAAGGGGCAGACCCAACTCACCCCTGCAAATGGCATCTGTTATCTCACGATTTTCAAAAAGATATGAAAACCATTCTCTTACGAGGCCATTCCTTTGCAAATCATCGCTAGCCTCCACGAGCGAACTATGTCAGAATTTCAGAAGTGTGATAAAATTGTATTGGTTACCCGAAGGAGATATTTGTTCATCATAATAAAAAAAATCTGTTTAAAATAATTCTCAGTCATACTGAAATGAAAGAACATTATAGAAAGATGTAATGTGTTTTCGAAGTTAGTCAAAATAGACTTTCGTTGAAAATTAGTTGCGAATTGCATTTGCGTCCTATGGAGTCAAGCGGACGTGTACTTCGTTACAAGGTACGTATAGCGCATCAAAATCTACAAAGGTACGTCTGTGCTATTGTGCATTGCTATTTTGAATAGACGGCCCGACGTAGCCGCGGCTTGGCTAGATCGCATGCGCCTGTTGCTTGCAGCGACGACGGTCGGCGCCGACACGTCCGACGTGACGGCCATCGTGTACGACGACCGTTGCATGCCGCACACGCGCTTCCTGCAGGACTGCAACACGTGCCTGTGCCCCACGAGCGGCATCCGCGCTCGCGCCTCGTGCACCGTGGGGCCGTGCCCGCCACCCCCGCCCTCCTGCGCGCCCGCGCCAGCGCCCCC